AAATGAATAGAAACATTCTAAAAAGTATAGGCCCCAATGTAAGAACCAATTATAATTATTTAATCAAAATTACAAGCTCGTCAGAATTTTGTTATTTCATTACATCGATGCTCATTTATTTAGCACCCATGACTTAGCATAGCAACAGAGGATGTGACAATGCATAATAACAACACTAAGTGCTTGCTCTGGAGTCATCTATGATCTGGCTGTGGAGACAAAACTGACACATAGGACATTCATAGAGCAATCAATGTGTGTAGTTAAATGCTAAGTCATGTGTCATATTAAATTGTATATTAGCAGGGCATCAAGAAGAGAAAGAATGCAGAGGGCCAGTATGGGTTGAAAAATACTTGCAAAGAATCTTAATGATAGAGAGAAGCTGGATGAGGAGAGGGGGTAGAAGGATACACCTGTCAAGAAGAGCAGGATGAAGACAAATGGAAGCTCAGAGAGAGGAATGAGCATGGTATGCTGGTTTCTATGCTTCACTCCTTCCTTTCCCTCTCCACCCTCCTCCTCTGCTCTGTACACACACATACAGGGTGGGATAAAAGTAGGTTTACAGTTGTTTTCATGGAAAATAATACAACAATTAATAAATAATACAAGAATAGACTCTGTGTTTTGCACACACAACTATAAGCCTACTTTTCCCCACCCTGTATATAGATATACATCCATGTATACACACATGCTTTGAGCTATATATGAGTGTGCATATAAATATATACACATAGATTTACCTCCAAATAATATTTGCCTTCCTTACACCAATGTCAAAATGTTTCTGATAAAATCAGAAATATGATGAGTTGCTGGAGATGATAATTTCTAATTTTTAAATCTGCAATAGCTCACGCATAAATTAAGAGGATAAGAGAGAGAAATGAGGTATTGGTTACCCTTGACTATATTTAGCAAAACCATCCTCCTTTTGGAAATTGAGGGCAGGTCAATCCTCATACCAGGAAGACATTTTTACTAAAAAATAACTCTTTATATGGCACATTTCTTGTTTTTTGATTGACACTCTTATGTATACACATTTTGGGTTTATTGTTAATATGGAAAATAAAGAGAAAATTGTTCTGTAATATTATTCCTCTGTGTTTAATAATAAAATTCAAGAAAAATGAAATATTCCTCCAGTACAGTGAGTTGGGTAACTAAGATGAAAACCCTGAGTTTTATGGGTTGAAGTAGAGTTCTGAGTCATGGGTGTTGTTACCAAAAAAAAGCTAGGTTTCTAAGACCAGGATAAGCAATTCTTTATATATATATATATATATATATATATATATATATATATATATTATTGATTTTATACAGAGAGGAAGGGAGAGAGATACAGAGTTAGAAACATCAATGAGAGAGTCTTCGATCAGCTGCCTCTTGCACACCCCCTACTGGGGATATGCCCACAACCAAGGTACATGCCCTTGACTGGAATCGAACCCAAGACCCTTCAGTCCCCAAGCCGACGCTCTATCCATTGAGCCAAACCGGTTTCGGCAGCAATTCTTATATAAATCAATGTCTTTGCTGTCTCAATTTTATAAAACAAAGGAACCAAAATTCTAGTTTTTAATTTTGAGACATAAGGAATCAGATTTGTTTTCTATAGGATGTTTACAATTGGTAAAAATATGCTACTTCATATTTAACTGAAAATAATTATAATTCAAAGACTAGGACTTTGAAGTTATCTATTCTTATGTCAATTGAATATAATATTTTTGTTTTATTATTATTTGTTTAACAATCCTCCATGAGCAAATTGTGGAGGAATAGTCACATTGTATTCTGCAGACATACTTAACCAGGCCATCTGGGCACCATCATATCTGGGAGTTCACTCATATAGTAGAACCAGGTGGCAAACTTGATTCTCCCCTCTTATTTTTTACAAAACCCACCATGAACTTACAGATGCGATCAAAAGTGTTAGTAGTAGCATTGATTCTGATTTCATCAACAGAAGGTGTATCTGAATGTGAATCTCTGTGCCTGGGTGTGTACCCAAGACATTCACCTCTCAGGTTTGATTTCCCAAGCCACTTTTTCTTTAATATTTAACAAAAAGTTCATGACTCTTCTTTTCATATATTGTTGTAAACCCAGCATATTTTCCAATAGCTACAATGACATCTGTCGGGTTGATTAGTAAGAGATGTCGCTTATATTTTTATGCTGACTTTTGACTTCTGGTTAGTTCTTGTTGCATTAAATTCTCGATCTTTTCTCTGCCCTTCACTTGCTATCTCTCAGGCCTCTTTCCTGCACTATTTTGCTCAGCTTTTCATGGTTTTAATTATTGTACTACTAAAATGACATTGTCTAGGTTATATGTGGAGCAGAGTTGTTGGTTGTTGTTTTTTCTGAAAAACTTGGGGACTAAAGAAGAGTTATATAAAACATCCAGCATATTTGATGAAATCTAACCTTCAAGACAAGCTTGTTCTTAAATGTGATCATTCCCATACAGACCCATGAAACCAAAGATCTAGCTTATCTGCTACTCACACACTCAACACACACTAGTGGAATGGGCATAGGATAACCATTATAAACATTACTGGTCAAAAAAAGGGGGAAATAGGAGCCATAAAGGAGGCTTTGATACATAGCAGTTCTGAAATCTAAGCAGAAAATGTTGAAATGTCCTAATTAGGTCCAGCTATCATTCTTTTGGCTCAGCCCTCTGGGCGTGTATTAATTGGCTCAGACTGCCATAACAGTCCCACCGACTGGGTGGTTAAGTAACAGAATGTATTTTTTAGCACTTCTGGAAGCCAGGAGTCCAACATGTCTGCTGAGACCTGTCTTCCTGGTGTGCAGATGGCTGCCTACATGCTGTGTCCTCACCTGGCCTTTCCTCTGTGCTCATGTAGTGAGAGAGAGAGAGAGAGAGAGAGAGAGAGAGAGAGAGAGAGAGAGAGAGAGAGAGAGAGAGAGATTTGATGTTGCTACCACTTTTTAGGAAGATGCCAGTCCTATCTAATTAGGCTTTTATTGTATGACCACATTAAACTTTACCTCCTTAAAGGTCCTATCACCATATTGAGGGCTAAGGCTTCATATAAATTTGGGGGACACAATTCAGTCCATAACAGCACTCTTCTTGGTTCTGCCTGAGTCACCTTCCCTTCTCATGAAAGACATCACTTTTGCCAAAGCGTAGTTTTCCCAGGCTACTTTCTGATATTTTGGGGGATCCAATTGCCTCCTTGTACATTTATGCTGTTCAGCTACTTTTCAACTTAAGGTGGCAGTGGCACACCTTTACTTTCAAAAGGCCTTTTATATGACTGAAGAGTTCTCTGAGGTCTTAAGGAAAGACTTTGCAGTCACACCCTTGGCTTCATCTCTAGACTAAGGGCACAATATCATGTCTTTGATATTTTTTTGCCAGACATGTACAACTGTATTTAATCATGAGGAAACATCAGACAGACCCAAAGTGAGAAATATTCTTTAAAACAACTCAAGAAAGTCAGGTCATGAAAGATAAGAGAGACAAAAGAGATGTGACAACTGAATACAACATGGGGTCTAGATTGGATTTGACACTAGAAAATTGTCCAAGGAATGTGTAATCTCAAATACAGTTTAGGCTTGTGCTGTTATTCAATGTTACTCACCAATCTGATGAGTCTGAAAAAGAGGATGAGGGGGGGCATTTCTAGATAGCCCTGATTCAAAATCAGAGTCATAGAAGGTGTTAGATCAATATGAACCATTCAGTTTAGCCTACTGGGAGAGCACAGTACATGACTGTGTTATTTCCTGGTGGATAATAATTAACTTAAAAAGGGTAGGCAGAGGGTAATGAAGTATAAAATAATCATTAGAACAATTTTATTATCAAATTTGGTTATGCCCCTTTTGGATATGAGCTTTGGAATGGTAACTATTAATTCTTTAAAAAAAACAACAACAACAAAACAACAACAACAAAAAAAAAACCAAGCCGTTTAATTGTGTGGTATTCTCAACGAGTTCAGAAGGGTCAGAACTCAGAGGTGTTCGAGGCAGAGCACTTTTGGAATTCACACATTCCACTTAGCAATTGTGCAAACTGCCAGAAACAGACCTCAAGAGTCTTTTGAGTTGGGGAAAATTCAACTCCTGATTTTACAGATAAAAGAATGAAGAGCACCAAAAATGTGGTTTACCTTTGTCACACAATCTGAAGCCTGAGCTGTCATGATCCCAATTCATAGCTTCTATGCTGCAGTTTAGGTAGGAGATCAGTCCCTCTCTCCATTCACTTCCACGTAATGTCACAGCAAGAGTGACCTGGGCCGAAGAGCTCTTATCAATACAGCTTTCTAACAAGCACTTAAATGAAAAGAACCCTCCGGTGGCACACAAGTAAGTTTATAAGATTTTAATTTACTAATTAAAAAGTTACATGTTTTATTGTTTCTTCTTTTTCTCTTATTTCTTTATACCACTCTTTCTCTTTGTCATTTTTCTATCCTTTTTTGCTCTCTTTTTCCTGCCATTCTTTCTTCTCTGCATCCCGGTTGGCAATCTTGTTGATGAGGTTGTGCAGGGCAACCACTGAATGGATCAGGAAGGCCAAACACACCACAGCCATCTGGTCATTGGTCTTTAGGTAAAAGGCCTTGACAAACTCCTGCAGACTAATGTCTGATAGCAGGCTGAAGACATCCTGCAGCTGGTAGATGATTTGGTGGTTGATGGGAAGCTTGCCTGTAGCCACTTTCTCCAGGTAGCCTTTGATACCCAGAAGTTTGGAGTTCAGTCCCTTCACACCATGCACCTGGTTTGTGATCACAGTAGTGTCTTTGATGTCTCTTAACAAGTGTTCAACCCCAACTTCTTCAGCTTCCTCTGCTCCAATTTCACTGGAGTGTTTATGAGGTTGGAGTTCCATCATGAACTTCTTCCACTGAAATATATGCTTGTGTGGGCAGTCCCAGGTCCTTTGGTTTCACATCAATGATGACTAATAGGGCAGTATCTTTTCATGAGTTCATTGATAGCGATGTCATTTTCTTGTGTAGTTTAGGGCCTGTGTGGTACCATCTAACTATTCTTTCTCTGTCATTGACCTTCTTAAACATTCCATACATGTTTTCCAAATAATCATGGTCTAAAAGCCAGATGGAATCATTTTTGTCATCTTCATCAAAAGGGACTGCAAAACTGTTGGGTACATCCAGTACTTTCTTTTGCCATGACCCCAAAAACATACCAACAACATACTTCTGGTTTTCAACCTTGCCTATTCTGTTAAAAATGATCCACCACACTGAGCAGCACCAGAGGTGGACTATCACCTTCTGTACTGCCAGCTCCAGCATCGTGGAACCCTGCCAGCCAGGTTCTGCTCTCTGCAACTTGCAAACACGGCAGCCACAGCAGCAGGGACACTCCTGGCAACTATTAATTATGATCCTTAGCTTTAGCATAATAAAACCTACCTCAAAATGTTGTGCAGATTAAATGAAGAGTTGCGTATTAAGAGCATGAAACATAGTAAGCATTCAATTAAAGACAGGCTTTGTTTATCGCATGCTGATGCTGATAGTGATGGTAGGCTACCTTGAAGCAGACTAGTATTTTGGACAGAGGTATCCCACAAAGACACTAGATAACAGTACAGATAAAAGGGAAAAGTCAAAAGGACTTTCATGACAATTTGTGAATATTCTTTGAGTTAAGGGCAAGAGTTTTAGGTTGATGACCTTGGATGTTTCAGGGTTCCATTCAGACAATACAGATATTTGGCTGGATCCAGAAAGACTATTTCTGGTCTCTCCACCCACAGGTAGAAATGGAACTAATAGGCTCATTTTATCTTCACTCAGGAAATGAAGAGAAATTAGCTACAGCAGGGTTTCTCAACAGCAGCACTATTGATATTTTGGGTTAGATAACTCTGAGCCCTGGTCCCCTGACGGGTGTGTGGGTGGAGAAAGCCAAAGGGGAGCGCGGAGTCACTAGCAATTGAGGGGCCTTGAAGATGAATTTAGCAGGCTTGCTTTTCAAGGGCATGGACTGAAGTTCAAAAATGTAACACTATTTTCTATAATCAAAATACATTTTCTGGCTCAAACATAATCATAATTTAGTCTAGGTATATTCTGTGAAAATATGTAATTTATCAGGCACTCTTAGTTTATAATCAGGACACATTTTGGATGAAACTTTATCTTTGGCTTTTCTCCCTGGATTTGAGTCTAAATTGGAGGAATGGGATAGGCTGTTAAAGAATCTTGCTCAAAAGCCATTCAATAATATTGGGAAAGAAGCCAGTTGCTTCTTATTTTGATGTGTTTGATCCTATGCAGATATCTTTGAGCATTAACAAATCTGCTTTGATTTTCAGGCACACATCATGTTTTTCACCTAATAAAATGTTAATCAGAGTTTGGCCATCAGCATCTCCCCAGGGTTTACCTGTTTAGAAGTTTGTGAGTTGCCATGTTTGTTCTCTGGTTGTCACGCTGCATTTTCATTGGCCCAACCTTTTGGTCTCCTTTTCCATGTTCTAGTTATCTCCCCACATCTTGAGATTCAGGGTTCGGGGATGCTGAAAGGATTTCACTGTGTCCCTAACACTGTCTCTTATCCATCTCTGCACTGTTATCAGCAATTCTATGTTCATGAAGAACATTGGCTTGATCACTAACTGGAGTTTAGACTGAACCAGCGAGGTATTTTGTTTCATCATGATGGTGCCAGGGACTTCCCTAGGAAGGTTGCTCTTTCATTGAGTCTCACCCAGGGTGCAAGAGATGTGTCTATTTTGTTATCAGAAACCAAAATTTAAATGACAATTCTATTGTATCCTTCCCCACCATTGCTGTGGGGAGAATGATGGAGAGTCAGGGTCAGGGCACAAAGGAAAAATCTATAGGTTCTTGATTCTCTCCCATTTCCTACACAGCTTAAATGGTTTTGTGGTCTGACAGCTGGGGTAGAAGTATGGATATATTTTGCCATATTGCTTTTTCTTTCAAATCTGTTTGAAATCATACACTGCACTTGCATTGAAGCTTTTGAATTTAGAGGTCAAGAATTCAGAGTCTTTGCTCTCCAGCCTCATTAGAGAAGTGGTCCTAGGTGAATGACAGCCCATATGTCAAGATCCATAATGGGCACAGAAGGAAAGAAAAAAAATTAATATTATTTCAAATTACTTCCCTGATAAGTGAATGTTGTTAAGGTTTAACTTGGCTTCCAATAGAAATCTTTCCTTTTATTCACAACTCTGCTAACGATAAATAGATGATAGCATGCTCTAAAAGGGATTTCAGTTTCCCATACACTTTTCTGATAAAGCACCACCAGTTCTCCCTGGGCCAGTGTTCTGGTTTCACTCATGCCATGTGCATTCCCCTCTCTGTTGTCAAGTTCCTTCTGTCTAATGTGCCAGACCTCTTTTCATTTTCTTGGATCATATCTGTAAGACATAAGGTCAGATTCAACCACCTCATGACATCTTTCCCAAGCATCTCCTCCCCCTCCCCCAATTAGCTAAGACTTAATTCCTTCCATTTTGAGTTGTATTTTTTGCATAATTGTCAGTTACATTATTTTTGCCCTATAAGAAATATGTTACTTGAATATATTCTACATACTGTGAAGTATTTAGCATGGTACATAGTAGATGATAAATATTGATTCATTGTTCTACACTGGTTTAAAAAATATGAAAGTTTAAGAACTATTCTAAATTATTTTCTGAGTTTTTACATCAGTTTAACTTCTGTTTCTAGAGACATAAAAGGCTTTTGAAAAATAAAAATTAATAAACCTAATTTTCTAAATTTTCATCATATAATTTACAATGAAATAATGATCATAGATAGAACAAGTTTTAAAATTGCCAAGCAAAGTCTGGTTTGCTTTGTGCATTTGCCATTGCTATTTTTCAGCATGTTATGTCATTTTCAGAGTCAGTTGTCCTCACCATTATAAAGTTCTCTTTAACAGAGATGAGTCTGAAAATATGTTTAATAAAGAAAAAAAAAGGCCAGTACAGAACAAATACAGAGATTAGAAAAATAATTAGCTATATTATCGATATCAACCATAATAATAGTTTCCTAGAATATCTTTCTTATAAAGATAAAATCACTAAAAATTTACTAGATAAATCAAAAATCATGTTTAATTATAAAAAGAATTATATAATTGTATTATTATTTTATTATTTATATCTTACTAATAAGACTTTGATTTCATTAATATTCCATTCTTCTATTAATCCACTCAACAAATGAATATTAACTTACTACTTGTTGGGTATTAAAGTTACAATGATCCCTGTCTTCACTGAACTTACAAATTTCAGTTCTTAATTCTATAAAGTGATTTAATTTTATGTAAAAAAGAACTATAATTGAAATAAGAACTTTTTCAGGCATCTTATAGACCCTCTAAATGGTTTTATTTTTGTACATACTTTTAAAATTTTATTATTTTTTAATTTTAAAAATATTTCATAATCATGCCTAAAAGTTAAAAGGACAATAGATATATAAATATATTTTATTTTAATTTTAAATATATTTTATCTTTTACTTCTGGCCAGGAAGACACTTGTGATGTATGTTGAAAAAGTAGCACAGTGATTTGTAAGGTAATTTCCCTTATAGAAGACTTGAGAAGAAGAGACATGCTCAGAAACCGCCTGGCTCACTGTTGCCTGAATCAAGAGCTTCAGCTGAATATTAACACTCGGAAAATAAACACTAACCTCCAAGGGGCGTGATGTTCACTGGATATCATCTGACTCCACGTGGAGGACAGAGAAACTACTCAAATGTTGACAAGCAGTAGAAAACAAACATTTATACTAGAAATGTATGCACTTACTATCATAACATCATCCCTACTCCTCTGCCCTGGTAGGTAAATAGAGATTTTTAGATTCCTCCCAGAAATATCATTCGTAGGATTTAAATTTAAATAGCTTTAATATCTAATAATTCTTTGGATAACTTAACAGAGCCTCACCCAGCATTCCTCAGGGCCAGAGACTGGCATTTGACCGAGCGAGACTATCCCCAGCACCTCTGTTCTTGTCAGCATGCTCTGCTCTGCTAATGTCTGGCACACAGGGTGCTCTGCTGACCTGGGAGAGTATTACTAAATACTAGGAATGACTTGCTACCCTACATTCATTTTGACAAATAAAACACAGTCCTAGAGGAAAGAACTGTTCTCCCGCAGTCCCATCATCTGGGCCGTTACTGAATGCCGAATCCCTCTTTTCCCTTTGCTACAAATCTCACATAAATTGTTAATCTCCCTTCTAAAATTCTAAAGTGATCCAACAACTAAAATGTATCTCTGTTTAAAAAGTGTTAGAGCCTAATTGCTCAGCTTTTTGCTTTTTTCTTCAAAGCTGAACTATGTGTTTTTATATAGTGTTCTCATTAGAGGATTTTTTGGTAAACTTGCTTTGATGCTTGCCTTTGATTCTCTGGATACTCAGTTGGGCCCTGGTCGAGATATTTTAGTTCATTTAGCAAAGCTCACATAATGATGTTCTCAGTGTAGGTAACGAGTTCTAGTTAACTAATCACATCCATGAATTGCATCCATCACAATTACTTTTGAGATATGACGTGCTAATAACAATTCCTTTTTAGAACCACATTAAATGGGTCATGAATGAATGTTACACCACCTGATACAGGACTATGTGAATGAGGAAAATATGCCACTGGAAGGTGGCTAAAGAATAGAGAGATTTTTCTTGAATTTATGAATACTGGTTGGATTCTTTGGTGGGAAGTACTAAATATCAAGTTGCAGGATCCTTAATATGGCCAAGACTCTTCCCCTCACTGCAGCCACAGAAGAACAAAGGACGGATCCCCAATTCACCTGAGTGGTGGTCTGCATTTCTCATTGCATTTGAATGGAACCACAGGTAATTTCTTTCAATCAAGTCTTCATTTTGCCAGCTATCTTAGAATGGAAAAAAAAAACAACAACAAACTGCCATACAAGTCAGGGAAAAGGAAACATTAGTTTCTCATTGTATAGGTTGTGATGAGATCCTCTGTTTTTATCATAAACACTACGTAACCTAAAATGACTGGAAGACAAATTACCACATGTCTCAGAAGCCCATTTGAGAAAATATAAAATGAGAAAAAGCTTTTTGAAACCTCTCCTAATGTATCTCTTAGGACTAAAAGAACTATAACTGTTTTAGGCCTGCCCTTCTGACCCCACTTTCCTTCTAGCAAGTCAACGAAATTCAATAATCACATGCTTCAAAGGATGCCAGGAGGTCTGACATCATTCTCAGGGATGGTTATTGCAGTTGCTTCTGGGAAGA